CCAAATGCTGCTGCGGTCGGCCAATGGAGAAATCCGTCGACGCTGTAGTTCGCGCGCGACCCCCATGAGATACTGTGGGTCGACGGCCCGAGAGGTCCCTGCGAGAGGAATCTGGTGGTGCGCGTGTGTGGGCGTCTCCGCGGCGGTAACCCGCAAACCGTGGAGTTGTCCAAGCTGCAAGGACACGTCGGGCTTGAGCCTAAAGGCTGCGGAGGCAGCGGCAGCGGGGGCAGGCCGAGACCAGTGAGGAGGCAGCACACCGAGTTGTTCCCTGTGGACACTCCAGAACTCACTATCTATATCGAGCTCGGGACTTCGGCGGCACTGAGGCTGGGCGCCTCGATTCAAATCGGGCTCGCTGGGGGGGTTCTCGCGCTGGGCTGGCGGATTAAGTCTATCAGAATCACTCGGCTGTCCGGCTGTGTGAGAGCTGTCACTGCAGGCTGGGCGGGCTCAACTGCATCGAACTGGACAACCTCAAACCGCGCATGTGACGGTTGACTGGATGACGAGAACTGGCATTCCAACGACGAGCGAGACGATGGGTCTTGTGACTCTTCGCGAGCAGAAGTCAGAGCAGGAGCAGGCGCGGCTGGCCTGAAACGGCTCTCGTGTCAGAAGTCTGAAGAGAGGCGGCTGGCCCGCGGATCGCCCCCGTCAGAATGAGTGCCGAAAAAGAACATCCTCGGTGCCAGCCGATGTCTCTCCGGCACATGTGGTCTGGCCAGCAGGGCCCTTGCCCCCCGAAAAATCACCGTGCAGGGTTTCGTAGAGGCGTTGTCTGTTGGCCTCGACTTTTTTTGCGCTCTGCGCGAGCGGGGCCGGCTCTGGCTCGGCTGGCCTTTGAGCCTGGCCTGTCAGTTCGAGGAGACCTCGCGGCGTTTGGTAGCCGTCGGGGCAGACCGAGCACTCGGGCGAGGAGCTGATCTCCCGACAGAACAATCTGAATTCTCCAACCTAGGCGGGGCGGCAGACCGCGCGCAGCCGAGACATCGACCAGCCGGCGCTGTGGACGACGAAATCCACATGCGATGGCTCACGTCCGCCCCCTGGGTCGCAAGTATATTCGGCAGGTGCGCGCGCGATGGGTCCCTGGATCTGTTCCGGGAAGCCTGACTTGCTGAGCGCCCCAGGGCTGGCGTTTCAGTTCCCAACCACAAGTCAGGGAAGCTGGAGGGAACGAGGGAGGCCCCCGGGACGCCGAAATCAAAAGATTTTGCCCTCGTAGGCCGGCGCTGCAGGAACCGTGAAAGAAAATAGTTACGATGGAGAACCCTTGGGATGGAGCGCCGCAGGGAGGGGCCCATCGAGGCCGGGGGAGAAGGGGAGACGCTGGGGCCATTTGGACTGTACTCCTTCTGAAAGAGATGGGCTCTGAGATGGCCCCTGGGCAAGAACCGCTCGCCGCCTCGTTGGCGTGCTCGGGTGCGACTGCTGATTCCCCTCTCGAGTCGGTTGGCCTCCCAACATGTGGATCAGGCCTATTGGGGCGGGTGCGGTTGACGAAAAGCCTGCGGTTGATGTCGCGGAATCGGCCTCTCCACTTGCCGACGCTGTCGTCGGCGATTTGCGTCTCGACCAAGCCTGTAAAATCATTGCTGCAGGTGGCAATCCAATCGAAAGCCTTCTGCCCCGTGCATGTGATGTTGCTGTAAAAGGGTGAAGATGTACTGGTGCTGGTAGTATTGGCGGTCTCAGACTGCACTAGAATGGCAGGGTCCTCGTCTGTTCCGCCTCGTTGGACCCTGCTCTGCCTAGCCAATAGGACTAGGGGCGTCCGCCGCCTGTCTTGCTGTTGCCCTACTTCGGCGGCGGCGTGTCGGCTGGATTGGCAGGGCGCCTGGCCTGCCCGGCTGCCCGCCCTGCAGCGAAGAGTGGGGCGGGCAACTTGGCGGCCTCGGCAGCGAGCTCTGCCTCGCTCTCGTTCTCGATTGCGGTGGTCTCTTCAGTGCTGCCCGCGGCGGCTGGCGCCTCGCCCGAGCCGCGGGGCGGCGCGGCTGCCGTGGCCGACTCGACGTCGGCAGGAGCGCTGGCAGTGCCGTCGTCGCCCTTGCGCTTCTTGAGGTACCTGGCCTCCTGCGCTTGGCGAACCTTCTGGGCCCGTTCGATCAGCGAGGAGACCTGCGGCCCTTTCGCGGCGATTTGCTGCTGCAGCTCCTCGAGGCCCTTTCCTGGAAGCGTCGAGCTCAATTTGCTCCGCCTCGGTGAACCCCAGCTCGTCACTCTTGCGGAACAGCTCTGGGTCCCAAGAGATGGTGAGCAGCTTCGGTGCGGTGTCTGTGGCCTGGGCGTGAGTGTGGGTCGGTTCGCCGCCGCCGACCCCTCCGCCTTGGCCAAAGCCTCGGCGGCCCGCCATTTTGGTCTGTTCGGTGCGGGCGACCTGGAGGGCGGCGTCCTTCCCCTTGGCCTCGGCGGTCTCGAGCGCCTTACGGAGCCTGATGGCATTGCTGACGACTTGACTGTGATGATTGACCGCCGACCTCCAGGCGCCATCAGCTTTGCGCATGGTCTCGACCTCGCTGACCTGCACTGCGGTGTCCTCCTCGGCCATGACGCGTTGGAGCTGCGCACTGAGGATGGCCTTCAGTGCGGGGTCCGTGGCGACGGCGATGGCCTGCTTGAGGTTGGCTGTGAGGGGGGGGCGGCTGTCCTGGCGCCGTGCGCCAGTGGCCGTGGTGGGTGTGTCCGCCTCCTCGACCTCATAAACCTCCTCGTCGCCGAATCGGGCTACGCTCGGACTCCGTGAGCGTGTGCGATGCAGCATCATCGGCCTGTTACAGCGAGGGCAGACGGGCTTGATCGGGTCCAGGAGGTCGTTGTACTCGCGTGCGCTGCACCCTCGGCATCGGCTCCAGAGCCGTGCGGCGCCTGTCTTGCGCCATGGCGCGCCCGCAAATGCGGGGGAGCGTGGCGCCTGGCATCCCACGAACCCAAGCGTTGGTCGACCGTAAAACCTGCACTTGGGCAGGTGCACGGAAGTTCCTCAAGCACCTCGGGAAGGTCCTGGGGCAACCCTGGAGAATGTGGCCAAGGCCGAAAGGGCTTGAGCCAAAATGGCTACGGAGGAGGAGGAGGAGAAGGAGGAGGAGGAGGATGAGGAGGAGGGAGAAGAGGAGGGAGGAGGCGGACGTGGAGGAGGATAAGTTTAAGCAACAGGACAAGGACGAGACGAGGGACAGCGGGCACGACGCGAGAAAAAGGCAACATATGTCTCTCCGCGAGACCCGGCTGTAAACCAAGCCCATCTCCACAACAGTGCTTTGGCTGCGGCCACCGATTCAGCAATATGTGCTCGCGATGGCGCTGCAAACTGCTTCGTTTTGTGATACAAATGGAAAGCCCACGCAATCCTGCGAATCGTCTGGTGCAAGGAGAGGTCGCGCTCAGGCTCGGACGGGTCCGCAACAGCGGGGCCCAAGCCCTAGGACGCAAGCGTGGTGAGAAACGGGGGAACGTCGGGGGACCAGAGGAGGCTCAAGAGGACGGAGCAGGAGAGGTAGTGGGGGAAGGAGTCAAGTGCATTCGGGCACCCGAATACGCATGGCCGCGGGGCGAGCACGTGCATGCGGTGAGAAGTGGTCCACCCGCCACTGAGCGTTTTGAAGACCGCCCAGCGCCAACTGGGGCGGACTTCTGCGAGAGCATTGGTCAGAGCAGACCAGCGCCTGGTGAGCTCAGGCGGCGGAGGCGGCTGCTGGATGCCCCACGAAGCCATGCGCTTTTGAGTGACGGTGAATGGCGAGGAGCATGAGGCGAGGAGGAGGAGGAGGAGGAGCAGGAGGAGGAGGAGGAGGAGAAGGAGGGAAAATATTAGGAAAGGCCCTCTGAGCAAGACCGGCCCCCTGGGATGGGGCCTGCCGACCGCTGCCCTGCGGTGCGGGAAAGAGGCGGCCCGCGCGGTCGGGCTCCCCCCTCTTGAGGAGCAGCGCCTGGGAGGTCTTCGTGAGAACGGCCATCGGTTGGCGGCGAGCGAGGGGGGAAGTGAGGAGGAGAAGGCCTTCCCATAAGGCGGCGGGACTTCTCAGAAACCCTCGCGCCTTCTGAGAATGTTTCTGCGTCTTCGGGGAAGTCTTAAACAACTTCTCAGAAGGCCGGGGGACTTCCGAACCTTCTCAGAAGGCCTTCTCCTTCTCATTCCTCCATCGCTCGCCGCCGAATCGGGGATGGACAGAACCCCCTTTAGTAAAACGTGGTTTAAAGAAAACGACCTCGGGCCCAAACCTGGCGGGCGCAAGCGTGGAAAATGACGGCCGCGGCGCCCTCTCGAGAACCGAAAACGGACAATTCGCTAATCGACGTGTCAGGGTGGGGGTTCTGTCCACCCCCGAGACCAAGAAGGGATTACCCATCGGCAGGAAAAAGTAGGTGAACACATGAAGTAATTAGGAAGGCGTTGAAAATATATTGGGTGTCCGCCCGCCCCCTGAAGAGGACGGACAAGTTGAAACCACTCGATCATTGAAGTAGGACGGCGCTTCAAGTAGATTGGAACTTGGGAATCCAAAAACACCTACTTTCAACGACCGATGGGTACAGTCAGCCCGAATAATAAGGACGCACGATAAGGAATCAAATGCCGACATTTTGCGGGCGGGGCGCGGCCAGCGAAAGCGGCCGAAGATGGGCCGAAGGCCCGCAGGGTGCCGAAAACATCCAAATCTACGACTCACAACGTGGACCCTCGGAAGTCTTGACCCATTCCCCGGGACAGGGTTTGCATCCCGAGTCGTGTCCTGGCAGCCCCTAGGCCCTGTAATGGCCCGCGGTTGTCGAGAATCGCAAATACGAGCCCCGATTCCCCCCCCCCCCCCCCTCACGACGCGAGGGGGTCAGGGTTGGGTCGGGCATGTCCTCCTACAGGGGAATTTGGGACGACCAATAAAAGTACGCATCCCCAGAATTTCAAACAAGAAGCAACAGATGCTCAAAACATCGTTTCCAGACCATTCTTTGCCCACGCTTGAATATCCCCCCTGAAGAGGGACAGGCCCAACTGAAGGTCAGGGCCCCGCGCCGCCCGACTGCCTCGCACCAGCGGGCCCGACACCCCGACGGATGGGGCCGCCCGGATTGCGCGCGCGGCCCGTCTCCAGGAGCGAGCTCTCCAGGAGCTCCCGCGTCGGCCAGCGCCTCGTGGGCGGCTGCGCCGTCGCCTCCCCCACCACGGCCAGGTCCTTCTTGTTGTTCTCAGCGAAGGAGGCAGGAGACGACGCCAGGGCGAGGCGGAAACCCGGGCGAGGGTGTATCGAGAGTCTCCGAGGCAGGGCGGCTCTGGAAGATGTGCCTGGCGCCGCGGCCTTCTCAGAGCGCGCTCCGCTCTGGGACGCTCCGACGGCGCTCCGGAACACCCCCGCACGTTTTTTTTTTTTTTTTTTTTTTTTTTTTTGGCTCGATGTCCTGTCGGACGCAGCCGTCCGCCCCGCACGGATTCATCCTCGTCCTGGCCCCATGCGAGCAGGGTCCGCCAGCACCGAGTCGGGGTCCCCGATCGGGCCGAGGCCTGCGTCGGATCGGGATGCATCGGCACGGAGCCGAAGTCGTAAGCGGAGTGGCTGCGCCTGAATGAACAACAGCGTACTGCAGTCAGCGGGTCGCATCGGGTCGTCGGGGCATCGGCATCGAATCGCTGGGCCTGACCAGAATCGAAGTCGAACTGGGTTGGTCGGGTGGATGTGGGCTCCCAGCGGGGCGCCCAAGGCCCGTTCCTTGAGACCCTGGCGCCGCGATTTCTGTGCAGAGCGGGCGACTCTGCCCTGCTTCGGGCCCCGGGGCCACTGCATATCGATATCTGGCTCGAAAGGTGCCGCAGGAAGATGGGAGCCCTGGGCCTCCACTCGTGCTTTCTCGGGATGTGGCGCAATCGTTTCGCAACGTCGGATCTCAGGGCGTGCTGACCAACGGCGCGATCCCACCTCCGACTGAGCCGGCCCGATCGTACCCCATGAAGGCCCTTCTTGCTCTCAGCGGGGCGCCCCAGCCTTGGCTGACCAGGCGACGCGATGTTCGGGGAGACGTAATGATCGGGTTCGGGGGACTCGGTCTCGCCTGACGGGGCCGTCAGGAAAATGACGACACCACGTAGCTTCAATTTGACGCGCGATCCTGCAAACCTTCCCACGAAAACTGGACCGTCAAGATTCAAAACCGACCTGCCAAAAAGCGTCAGCTAACCCGTGTGTCGGTGAACTCGAATGCTTTTCGTCTCCCCGAGATTCTTCCCATCCTGTGGTTTTTGGTCCTCGTTTTGAAGAGACAATGCCCCGCGTCCGCTCACTCAACAATCAATCCTCCTCCCCTCCTCCCTCCTCCCATTCCCGCCTTTGCTTTCACGCGTGCCGTCATCACCATTAGCATCGTAGTCATTATCGCCATGGCCATCATCCACATCGCCATCAGCATCGTGCATCTGCCCTTCGCATGTCAATTTCGGGACACCCTCACAGGTTTCGTGGCCCCATGGGGAGCTCCACCGAAGGCCCCAGTGGCAGGGTCCGCAATCGGTCCCGAATCGGTCCCGGATCGGTCCCGGATCGGTGCTGGCGAGCCCGGGATCACTGCGTTAGGTGGTGCTCAATGGGGGGCGATCAAATTCGGCGGGCACAAACGTGCGTTCCTCACTTGAGCCCCAGGCGAGCCCCTCGAGAGCCCCTTGAGGGTACGAAGAGGTGCCCCCTTTCCCCCGTTGCGAGGCGCCCGACTGCGGCTGAACCCGATCCGCGCCGGATTGGCGCCCTTCTGGGGCTCTGGCGATCGTCTTCTGGACGAGCTCGCGCAGATGCCTCATCGGGCGCGGCCAAGAGGGGGGTGTCCCAGAGGGGGGGGGGTGCAAACCATGGCCGGCGGCACGTGCGCGGCCCAGCGGGGGGGCCAGGGACGTAGTGAAACCAGAAGAGGCGCCATGAGATCTCGGGGAATATCATGGCCCCCGCCATGAGATCCCCCCCCCCCGGGTCGTCACCCCCCTCTTCGCCGCCCCCGGCCTCAGGGCGGGCGCCAGGGCTGCCCTGGCGGGGGGCTGCTGGGCAGCGGGCCTCCCGGGGCAGAGGGCGCACGGGAGGGCGGCGGGCAGCGGCAGCGCCCGCAGCGGGGGCAGCAGCGCCAGGCCGGCCCACGACGGCGCGGCTCTCTCACGGCGTGGGTCCCCGGAGGCCTAGGCTTCAGTCGGGCCTCTCCTCCTACAGGAGGGCTTTGAACAAAAAACCAAAAAATAGTCGAACAATATCCCAAAATGGTCAAACATATGCAAAAAATCATCTCCTGACTATTTTTTGACTATTTCCTAATGTCCCTCCCGTAGACAGGCCCGGCCGAAGTCTAGGCCACTTCTACCACCTACCAAAGACTGGCGTTCCATCCTGAGCCGCTGTTGGACGGACCCGGGGCCCAGCGAGGGCTCCCAGAGGGCGAACACTGCAAAACACCATCCGTCGTTCCTTCTTGTGCCGCGGCCCGCGAGGGGCCTGGGGCGACGGAGAAGAGCGGGAGTGGTCTTGAAGGCTTCGGTCGGGGGAGCGTAAGACCCGGGTTTGCCGGGACCCGGGTTCGCCATCGTTTTTTGACGACCGCGCCTCGGATCTTGACGAGGAGGAGTTTCGTGGGATGTCTGCAGCGGGAGGCCTCGTCAAAATGCAGGCTCGGCCTCGTCATTTTTTTGACGACCTCGTCGGGGATTTCCGAGTCCCCCGTACCCGGGTCTTACGTCTCCCCGATTCGGCTTGCGCGCAGGACGGCCCCCCTCAGGCAGCCCCGACGGGCCTCCGCAGGCCTCCCCGACCTGTCCGGGGCGCTCTCGGCACCCCAACCTTGGGGCGCGGAGCGCCCCAGCGGCGCCGCCGAAGGCGGAGGAGGAGGAAGGAGGAGGCGGAGGAGGAGGAGGAGGAAGAGGAGGAGGAGGAGGAGGAGGAGGAGGAGGAGGAGGAGGAGGAGGAGGAGGAGGAGGAGGAGGAGGAGGAGAGTCTTGAGAGCCTGCCCAGGACCACTCGCGGCGGGGACTGCGTACTCGGGGGGCCTGTGGAGGCCAGCCGGGACCGATGAACTGCCCGTGGCGGGGGCTGCCTGCGCGCTGCCTGAGCGGGAGAGCGAGAGAGCGGGAGGCGCGCGAGTGGAGCATCGCCGGGCGGGGGCTGCTGCACGCCCTTCCTGGGAACAAGGAAAGGCGACACCGACTCCAACAGGGCGAGGCGATGCGAGGAGCAAGGGGGGGCGTCTCCCTGGTGGTGTGCTCCCCCCCCTCTCGCTCGAGACGTCCCCAGCCTCCAGCTCGGGGAGGCACCGTGGACCTCCTCGCTGGAGGCGGGCCCCCCGGCGGTGCTGGTGCCGCATCTCCCCCCGTCCGACTTCCCCCCCCGGGTCTGCGCCTCGGCCGCTCCTGCGGCTCCGCCTGCGCCACGGCGAGCTGGAGGACGCCCGCCGGATCACGGGCCTCGCCCTCCGTCGGAGCGGCGGACAGGTCCAGAGATGCACTCGCGGCCTGGCCTCCGGGGCGCGATCCCAGGAAGACGCGGTCGTGTGGACGCGCTCGGCGCGGGACGTCCGCGAACATCAGGGGGAGCTGCTGACACGGTCAATCCAGACCTGGGTCAGTGAGGCTTTGCAGAATCCTGCAAGATCCTGCACCCAAGCTCGGGTCAATGCACCCCTGGCTCTGGAGGATCCTGCAAGACCTGGCGCTCTGACTGGCCCCCGTTTGAGTTGACCCCCGTCTCTTGAGCCGCGAGAACGAACGCGGGCACCCGCCGAAAAAAAACGCCCGGTGTCCACGGGCTTGCGGCCCTGAGGGCCCGGCCGCGAGGCTGCGAATACACGGACATGTTTGCCTTTCCACGGCCTCTGGCCCGCGGCCGGGCTTCTCCCCGAGGGACGCCACGCGCGAGGCGGGCCCCCCTGAGGGGTCCTCGGGAAGTAAAGAGAACTGCATATACAGTGTAGGCCAGTCCACCAGAAAACTTCCACAAGAAACCCATCCCTGAGACCCCAGAGCGTGCGTAGGTTTTTGGTGTGGGAACGTCACGCTCTCCACAGCAAAACCATCGAAACCCAAGCAACCCAGGGCACCCTGGAGGCAAGCAAGGTGCTTCTTGGCATGGGCCTCCACTGTGTACAAAACTTTCGGAGGTCCGCGTGGTTGTCGTGGATCGGCACCGGGCCCCCCTCACCTGGCCCCGCGCACGGATCTCCAGGAAATCCGCGCGGAGCTTCGAAAGTCTTTCTGTTGATGCAGGTCAGCGTTTTTTGCGTATTCTGGGGGGAAGGGGGCCTGGGCTGGTGCTTCGTCGACCTGCTTCTACCAGTCGCGCAAGCCGGCTGAGGGGGGGGAAGGGCCCTGACCCGTCGACAATAACAGCCGCCCCCCCAAACCGCCAAGACTGGTCTGCCGCGGGGAAACCAAAGCGCACCGATACCGCTGCTCCCCGGACCTCGCCCGACGAGGGCCGCCCAGGAGGCCCCAGAAGGGGGAACACCAGGGAAGAGTAGGGGTAAGGGGGGAGGGAGGGGGAGGAGGAGGAGGAGGAGGAGGAGGAGGAGGAGGAGGAGGAGGAGGAGGAGGAGGAGGAGGAGGAGGAGGACGAGGACGACGAGGAGGAGGAGGAGGAGGAGGAGGAGGAGGAGGAGGAGGAGGAGGAGGAGGAGGAGGAGGAGGAGGAGGAGGAGGGGGAGGAGGAGGCGGAGGGGGAGGAGGAGGAGGGCCAGGGGCTCGCGCCGACTGCCAGATGTCCCTCACGCTGCGGTCCTCGTCCGCGCCGCCCTCCGCCGACGCGGCGGCGGCGGTCGGCAGGCTCGCGCGGGCGTCGGTTGCCTGCCGCGAGGGCGTCGAGGGGCTGGGCGCCCGCCGCCGCGGCTGGCTCGGCCGCCGCGGCTGCTCGCGCGCCTGCCACGAGCACGACGACGACGCCGCCGACGACGCCGACGATGCCGACGACCCCGACGACGACGATGCCGACGACCCCGACGACGACGATGCCGACGGCGACGATGCCGAGGACGACGACGACGCCGACGACGCCGACGACGACAGTGCCGATGACGATGCGGAGGCGGACGCCGACGCCGACGACGACGCCGACGACGACGACAACCCCGACGACGCCGACGACAACGACCGTGCCGACGACGATGCGAACGCGGACGCCGACGCCGACGACAGCGCCGACGACGACGACGCCGACGGCGCCGACGACAACGACAGTGCCGACGACGATGCGGACGCGGACGCGGACGCCGACGACGCCGACGCCGCCGACGCCCAAGGTGCCGCCCCCAGCTTTTCGTCCCACTTTGGAGCCCCTGGGGGCCCCTGGGCCTAGTAAAGGGGCGCTCTGGAGGCCGCCTAGGCCCCCCGAGAATCCTGGGGACACCTCTTGAGCCAGGGGCACTTCTAGGGAACCCCGATCGAGGGACCCAACTTCTTGCATTCTCCCTTGTCCTCCTCCTCCTCCTCTCCTCCTCCTCCTCCTCCTCCTCCTCCTCCTCCTCCTCCTCATCTCTCCTCCTCCCCCTCGTCCTCCGACTCTTGCTTCTCCTCCTCCTCCTTCCCCTGCTTCCATGCTCCCTTCTCCTTCTCCGTCTCCTCCGCCTCCTCCGGAGCCGCCCTCTCGGCGGCGAGCAAAGAGGGTGGGGGCAGGATCGACGACGTCGTCATCCTGCTCCTGGGAAGCCGAGCTCTAAGACGACGACGAAGACGAAGGCGCCGCCGCCGCAAACGACGACGACGACGACGACGACGACGATGCCGCCGACGACGACGACGACGACGACGACGACGACAACGATGCCGACGACGACGACGCCGTCGACGCCGACGACAACTACGTTGCCGACGACGACGCGGACGCGGACACCGACGCCAACGACGACGACAACGACGCCGCCGCCGCCGACGACGACGACGATGGCTACGACGACGCGGGCGCGGACACCGACGCCAACGACGACGACGCCGACGTCGACGCGCACGGCGCCGCCGCCGACGACGACGACGATGGCTACGAAGACGCGGGCGCGGACGCGAACGCGGACGACGCTGCCGCCGCCGACAATGAAGACGACAACGCTAGTGCCGATGCTGACGCCGATGCCGACGCCGACGCCGATGCCGACGGCGAGACCTGGCTCGCCGTGCTCGCCGCGCCGGAAGGCGGCGAGGGCGCCCGGGGCGAGGAGCTGCGCGGGCTGTGGCTCGGTGATGCCTCCCGAGGGGACCGGGCCTACAGTCGGGACGTTGACCTTAAGGAACCCTAAATAAGGAACGAGGCCCCTTTCTCCCATCAGTGAAGGTTCGATTTCCCATCGAAAACCTGAGGAAAACCTAGGGTAAGCTGTGAAACAATCAAGGAACACGGAGCCCCTCCCCAATGAAAACGGTTCCTTCTTCAGCGCCCCGACTGTAAGAGCAGTGTGTCCCGCCGTGCTGCCCTGGTGCGCAACCCGCGACACGCAGCGAGCTGATGCAGAGCTCAACACCAGGAGAGCCCAGGATCGAATCGAGAATTCGGATCGGCGACCGGAGTGAATCGAATCGGCCCAAATCGGCCAGCCGAGTCGGGAGAAGTGGAATCGGCGGAAATCGGCAAACTATTAGGCCTGCTGTGAGAAATCGGAATCCAGATCGGAATCCGAAGTCTAATCAAATCGGAATCGGAAGCCATCGAGGTCGGATCGAATCGAAACGGAGGAGTCGAAATGAGCCCTGCAACACGTAGACTGGGCACGTAGGTCTGACGCGATGCGTTCGCCAGAAAAGTGGGCCAATACGCTGGGCCAAATCGTAAGGTATTGACACGGACGTTTCAAGGACCTTACGTGTTGCGTCTCAAAACGGGCGCATCGAGGCAGCTAAGGTGTCCCATGTGCGTGTTGTTATCGGTTTCCCTCGTTCTGTCATCGTTCCGCCTTGGCTGCAAAACGAAATCGGAACGAAACCGGTCCGCGAAATTGCCAAGACACTGTTCAGGCCAAACCATGCCTCCCAGACCGACTCCGCGCCCTCCGCGACGGCGTGCATCCTGTCCGACTGCTCCTCCGGGGCAGGAGCGCCGAACATATATAGGACACACACACACACGCACTTGCGAGGCGGGGACAGATCGATATCCGACGAGGAAGACAAGGGTCTTACTGGCCATCGCTCGGACGTCCATTCCCTGTGTTTTTTCTTGGTTTCGTGCGTGGCTTTTTCGCCAAATGATCAAGGATGCTCCTCGATGGTCCTCGCCGAGGAAAAATGTACACGGCCGAGCGATGCCGAGCTTACGCAAGATGACGTAGCGAGCTCACGCGGTGTCTCACGCGAGCCGCCAGCGCGAAACGCCGCACCCAAAACGAGGGCGCTCACGTGCGACCTTGCGCGGGAACCCGACGCGCGAATGTCAGCAGAGTCGACCCCGCTCTTCGGCATCGCGCATGGCAAAGTATTACCAGCCTCGAACGTATCCCTATCCCTAAGATTGACACGCCAGAAGGCGATGACAATCTTAGGGATTCGCCCTCAAAATATAAGGGAATCCCTAAGATTGGCATCGTGATGAGGAGGTGCCCAGCATAGGGATAGGGATATGTTCCAGGCTGGTAAAAGTAGGCGGTCCACCGCCTGGGGAACCGACGTCCATGACCCCAACGGGCGGCGCACATGGATATATTTTGGCCCCAGGGGGCCGGAATCTAAAGTGGAGGCTAGTCCACAAGAAACCTTCCACATGAAACCCAACCCTGAGACCCCAGGACATCCATTGATTTTTGGTGCGGGAAAGTCACGCTTTCCATAGCAAAATCATCGGAACCTAAGAAATCCAGGGTACCCTGGAGACAAGCAGGGTGCTTCTTGGAATGGGCTTCCACGGTATCCACATCCACTGCTTGCAGAGGTCCCTGAATATCGATCCCCAAGGCGGCTGTCATGGATCAATGCCCGCCTGGGAGGATCGGTTCTGGATGCGTTCCGGGAAATCTGGGGAACATCTGGCGGCCCTCGGAACGCCTCGGTATCATAACTTCTACATGTGCTCGTTCTGGGGACCTTCGTGGAGCTACTCGCTCCACTCATACGTCGAAGCTGCGTCGAACGCCCGTCGGCAAAGGTCGAACTGGAGTCGAACTAGTGACGAACTTGAATCAAGGTAGAGTTTAGCTCATTCGTGTCGAACAAATCCGTCAGGTGGGCCCCATCACCAGCGTATCATCATCATCATCATCATCATCATCATCATCATCATCATCATCATCATCATCATCATCATCATCATGATCATCAGCAACATCATCATCTTCAGCATCATCATCATTATCACCAGTATCACCACAATCATCACCATCACCATCACCATCACCATCACCATCACCATCACCATCACCATCACCATCACCATCACCATCACCATCAACATCAACATCAACATCACCACCACCACCACCACCACCACTACCATCATCATCAGCTTTATCAACATCATTATCATCAGCATCATCATCATCATCATCATCATCATCATCATCATTATTGTTATCATCACCATCACCGTTATTACCACCATCGTCATCATCATACACATCAGCATCACCATTACCATCATCACCATCCCCTTCACAATCATAATTACCATCGGTATCCTCCTCCTTACCTTTCTCATCACCATCATCACCATCACCATCACCATCATCATCACCATCATCATAATCATCATCACCATCACCATCATCATCATCATCATCATCATCATCATCATCATCATCATCATCAGCATCAGCATCAGCATCATCGTCGTCGTCATCGTCATCGTCATTGTCATCGTCACCATCACCATCACCATCACCGTCATCATCATGACCATGCTCATCATCCCCACCCTCCTCCTCATCGCCGTCCTCCTCCTCACCGCCATCGTCACCCCTTCTGGCCGCCCCGATCCTCGTCCAGGGCCATCAACCCGGGGCTGTGCCGCAGGGAAGACCCCGGCCGCGACCCGGGCGTGGCCGGGCGGGAGGGGTCCGCGGCGGTGCCCGTGGACGCGCGGCTCCTGCCGTGGGACGCGCCGCCCGAAGAGCCGCCGCCGCCCAGCCGGCAGGCGGCGCCCTGCAGCGCGCAGAAGACCACGAAGCTGGCCAGGCTCGCGTGCGCGGCCGCGGGCACCGGCGTCGCCGTGCGTGCTGCGTCCTCCCCCCGGGGGGCTGCGGTGTTTGCGCCTCTCCCCGGCCCTCTCCCCGGGGGCCGCTGTGCTTCCTCCTCCTCCTCCCCTTCCCCCTCCTCCTCCTCCTCCTCCTCCTCCTCCTCCTCCTCCTCCTCCTCCTCCTCTTCCTCCTCCCCCGTGTCCTACTTCGCCAATGAGCTTCGCAGGACGGGAAACCAAAAAGTGCGGGGTCCTCGGCTCCCAGAGCCCAATCGGGCCTTGCAGGATCCTGCAGGATCCAACGCCAGAGCCCTGGTCAGTGCACCCCTGGCCCCGCAGGATCCTGCAAGATCATGCGCTCTGACCGACCCCCCCCGTCAGCAATGCCCCCAGTCTCTGGAGCCCCCACCCGAGCCTGATCGGCGGCGCGCGCCCAGGGGGAAGTCAGAAGTGGCGGGCCTTCTCCGAAGGCATCGGGCCTTCTGAGAAGTGCCCACTTCGCCCCCCCCCCCCCCCACCCTCGCTCGCCGCCGACCTGAGACCTGGGCGCTGCCATTCTTGCACACACGGGCGTGTTCGCTCGGCTGCGGGCCCCAGGGCCGTCACAGATGGATCCGGCCCGAGACATGCCGCGGAGAGACGCGGTCCAGGGCTCCAGTCGAGGTGCTCCTCGCTCGGATCTCAGGGAGCCCAGACCTCAGACGGTGTGCTCTAATGCGGGATGACGATTAATAAAACATGGGAGAGAACGATTAACAAAATAGTTTTCTGCTATTTCTGCATAATTTTCTGACTGGAGGAGAACGATAAAAAAGAATAGTTTTTCAGCCCGCGGCCAATTTTTTCTAATCGTCATCCCAGGCGCCGCCGCGTGAACACGACCCCGGGTCAATTATTAATCGTCATCCTCCATTATTCAATCCCGGCGATTTGCCTTCATCTCGGCCTCGGGGGGCCGCTGTCGTGCCCCAGGGCCGTAAACAATGGATCCGGGGACGCACGCAAAACTGCCCTGGATAAGCAGGGCTGGGATGGAAAGATCAAATCGGAGGATGTCCCCAGAGAGCCGATGCCGTGATTTTTTCAATGCGCGATCCTCCGAAGTCTCGACCCTTTCCCCAGGACCAGTTTTTTCATCCCGAGTCGTGTTTTGATGGTCCGGGGCCCAGCGAGGGCCCCTAGAGGCCGAAAGTCTAGGAAAACCGCCGTCTCGATTGTTCCGATGCGTTGGAGGAGGAGGAGGAGGAGGAGGAGGAGGAGGAGGAGGAGGAAGAGGAGGAGGGGGAAGAGGAGGAGGAGGAGGAGGAGGAGGAGGAGGACGAGGATGAGGAGGAGGAGGAGGAGGACGAGGAGGAGGTCTGGGGACCTCCAGAGTCGCCATCATCCTCACGACGTGGGCCGCCGGAGCTCTCGATCGCCGTGCCCGCGGGGGCCGCTCTTCCGCCGCGGGGCCGCGATCGCTGACGGCCCCGAGGCCTGGCAGCGCGGCCCCCGGGGCGCGCGGGGCTGCCGGACAACCCCCGCCCGCCGTGTGTTGTCTCAGCCCGGGCATGATGCCCCCTTACAGTCGGGGCGTTGACCTAAGGAACCCGAAATAAGAAACGAGGCCCCTGTTTCCCCTAAATTAAACTTCGATTTCCCATGGAAAACCTAAGGGAAACTGCAAAACCATCGAGGAACACCGAGCCCCTCCCCAACGAAAAGGGTTCCTTCTTCAGGGCCCCCACTGTAGAGGCGGCTTCTGGGCGGCAAAATGCAAAATGGTCAGCACAGATTCCAACATGGCAGGAACCAGATAAAACATCATCCCCAGACCTTTGTGTGGGCCCCGGAAACGGCAGGGCCGTTTTTTCACCGTTTCCAGCAAAAATGCCCCTTGAAAATGGAAGCGGCAAAACAACGGCGACGGAACCGGTAACAAAAACGGCGTCGGAACCGGCAAAGAAACGGCAAAACGGAACCGGTAAAAAAACGGCTCTGTCGTTTCCAGGCCCCCCATGGGCGGCTTCTGGGCGACAAAATACAAAATAGTCAACACAGATCCCAAAATGGCAGGAAAAAGATACAACACATCGTCCCCAGACTATGTGTCACGCTTTTTGGAGTATTCCTCCTGTAGAGGGACAGGCCCGACTGAAGATTTTGGCTTGCCTTGCCGTGCGACGCCTGGAAGTCGGGGATGTCGGACTCGGGCGTGGCGACCGACGTGGCCCGACTCGGCGGGGCCCTGCTGGGCGGAGTCATGCGCATGCTCGCCCGCGATGCCGCGCGCGCCGCCCAGTCTGCGATGTCCTCCGACGGCACCTTATCGAAAAGATCTTCTCGGGAGGTCGGCCTGATCGCAACATTTGAGGACCTGATCGAGGATATCTCGATGTAAGAGATGCTGGATGCTGGAGCACATGACCCGTCGACACTTGAACTTCCTGAAGTGCCCCAGGGCTTCCGTGGGCCACCCAAGGCGCTTGGGGGATGCAAGAAACTTCCGAGAGGCACCCGCTGGCAGGCCGGTTTCTCACTTGATGTGCCCACTGTGGGCTCTATCCCATCCCTCCCCATCCATCTCTCGCTCCCCTACCCCTCCCTCCACAGCGCGAGCGCCGCATCCGACTGACGTCAGCTGTGGGCGACCGCTGGTCGGAACGTGCAGCGGAACGCCAGCCAGACTCTAAAAGGCTGTCGATGCAACGCTCGCCCGCCTCCTGGCGACGTGAGGACGCGTTCCCCTCTCTCCAAGGCTTACCGCATGGACAGCAACATGCCAATCATGACACGCTTGTTCCACACTCGCCGTTTCCCATCCCCTTCTCCTCGTCCGTCCTCCCCATCAACGCTGATCGACTGGCCAAGTGGTGACCAGTCGCTCAGATATTGACAAGGACAGATGCAGCGCTACAGCGCTCCCCAACATGCTGTGCTGCGCCAAGCTGCGCTATGCAACTGAATGCCATGCTACATAAGATCTGCAACGAAGCAACGATGAGGCTGACATGTCAATATGAGCAATACTACGCAGTGTGAAGCTACGTTCTGTTTCCGCATATCATGCTAGTTACATGTGGGCAGAGCAACGATGTAACCTAATGTTATCACATTCTACGTGCATCGATCTGAAACCCAATCGATGTTATAAGGCGTTTCGGCGGCTTGCGATATCATTGTATGCCATGTGCTGCCACGCTTTGCTATGTCATGCCATGCCGTGCAATGCCATGTTACGTGCGTGAGTATGCAATGTCATGGTATGTCGAGCGGTGCTCTGTGACACGCGTTGCTACGATTGGAAGTGCAGCCTAATGGTTTCGTGCGCATTGCGCTGCAGGCCATTGCATAGCATATGTTTCTACACGTGTGTGTAGCACTGTATGAGATACAATGGATGCAGTTCGCGCTGGGAAACC